AGTAGCATTAACAAGTAAAATTGATCAATCAAATGAAAGGAAACCAAACGAAATTATCGCCGAAAACGTGTCATAACCAACAGCTTTTGGTACTCCAATCAGTCAGCTACATTGTATGTTCAAATTTTGCACTGGGCGTCGATGACCTCTCACTGGAAAATGCAACATTTAAACATAAATAACCAGATATCATACAAAATGACACAATTGCATGTTGTATGATTCATTATATTATTTAATAGCCTAAAACAACACGTATGAATTATGAAATATAAGTGTTTATGTACAGGTTAACGGACACATAAACATGTACATCATACTGGTAATGTAAAGTAATTAGGGAAGCAACGTGTGAACATGAACTTTGACGTATCTACGTCAAATATCGCGAATGCTAAGCAGTGAAACGGCATCCCCTTCTAAACAAGTAGCACCCATTTGCAAATAATTTCACACCCTCCTTTGCAAGTAGCGCAAAAAATAATATCAACTCTGCCCAGGGCAGTTGCGTCGTTTCAAATTACAACTCCGGCCATTAAGGTGCTGTTTTGGCTGAACTCTGGGTTCTTGACAGTATCGGAGAAAGATCTCCACCTACGTGTATCCAACGTCACTCAGTTATACTAGCACTTTGAAAGCTATACAAGTACATGATGCGTTACCTGGTGTTAAAAGAAGTGGAAACCAGGAAAACCAACAACTAGAAAACCAGGCAATGTGCATGCCTACTTAATAACATGTCATCATCTGAACCAGGTGGTCCTGTATGACCTCAGGTCGCACTGATATATAGCTGTATTTGACATCACCTAGAGTGGCAGGGCAGTTCACCAAACCATTGCATTTCTCTGGCTTTTACGAGGGCTTATTCACTCTGCAATAACTAAAACGCAGTCCATGTACTAGTCAATATAGAGGGTTGTTTACAAAATTTCCCACTCACACCTCCTTACAACCTGATCTCACTGTCAGTACACAATGAGTCTTTCGTCAATCAGAACATTTTATCATGTAGAAATGTTTTTACAATATATATTTTGGATTTTTTGAAAACCTCAATGATTGAAAAAAATCTGTTTCATACTAGTGCCTCCCTAATATTCACATTTAGCTTATAAAAAACGCACCTATATGGCAGGTCAAAGTATGGATAATTTATGTACTAGCCTTGACTTATTTGGTAGGTCAATCTGAGTCTGTACTGGCAATAACTGGATTATACGTGATATCTAATGTGATGCAGGTCTGCTCCAGAAATGTGCCTGGTTCTATGTCCTGATCAGGAGATGTAGACCACTTAGCTCTGATCATATGTTACCATCTGTCTTCAATCCCATCAATGAATTGGTAAATATATGTTTTAGGTACGGAATAGTTTCGGCTTCATCCAAAACTGCAGTAAATAGACCTCTTCTTAAAAAGGAACAAACTGGATCATAATAACTTTGAACATTATAGGCCAGTGAAAGCTATGAAATGTGCTTTTTTAAGCATCTGAAACGGAACGATTAACCGATAAATATATAACACTGATCTTATTTTCTGAGAATGAAAAACGACATTTTGACCGTTATTGACACAGACTCTGTAGTCCTGCTTGTACTGCAGCATTTGACACTATATTGATCACTCCGTCCTTCTGTCATTTTTTTGAGGATTCAGCTGAAATTAAGGACAAGACTTTCGCTCTTCTATGGCCCTTTCTCATTGGAAGAAAACAATAGATATACTAGGTGTACTCGAGCCCTGACCTTCCTGTATAACAACTCGTCTTTGGTGTTCCACAGGACAGTGTTTTGGCCCACTTAAATTTTACATTTACACCCTGTCCTTGGGTGTCACACTGGTTATTACATAAATCCTGATGCCACTCCGTTATACATTTACTGTTATAACCATAAGCCTGATGGTGCAATAATCAAAATAACAAATACGCTGGATGATAAAAGCTAAGTTAAAATTAAATAATGGTAAAGCGGGTTTTTATGCACGCAAAAAGAGCGTTTTTTTCGATATCACCTTGACCATAGAAAAACCGATAGCCAACCTTTAAAAAACCTGCATGTATCATATCAGAATCACCAGTACTCTGTGCAATATTCTCCCCGACTCGATTGAATTGGGATCTTGAGAACTGGAACTCCTTGCTCTATGGCTGCATCATAGAAAGAACCAGAACTTCAACGCATTCGAAACATCTCAGCTCGTCTTCTTACTTAGACTCCAAAGGGGAACCATTTAACACCAATTATAAAAAAAACTTCACTGGCTCTCTGTAAATGCACGGATTTATTCATTTCGGATTTATTAACTTTTTATATACGCTCATGCTGCCTTTTTGGATTTCCACTAGATTATCTTTGTGAACTTGTTTCTCACTACTCACAAATTGCACGATAAAAAATAAGGACCAAATAATATTAAAAACTCAATGTGCAAGGTTTAAACTTTTGGAGAAAAAAAACCTTGTGAATACGAGGCCCCGATATGAATGGAATCATTTACCATCAGGACTAAGGTAATAAAGCCCAACAGACGATTTAAAAAAGCCTTAAAACCTTTATTTTTCAAAAAGTTTTATGACTGATCAGTTTTTTACAGATCATTATAATTGGCCATTTTCTCTTTACTTTTAATAACATTAAATTTGGTCAGATTTTTATTCATTTTAATACCGTTACTTTTTAATATATGTTAAAAGTTTAACTTTGTATTTTATTTGTGTTTGTACTGTATTTTTGTTAATTCCACATATTTATATGAATTTTAGAATCTAAATAAATATATCATTATATTAAATATATTATATATATTAGTATTTATTCTTCTTCTTATATTTTATTATTAAATTTTTTTTGGTTGCACATTTGCGTATTCCTCGCTCCGTTTATTGTGTTGTTCTTCATGTGATTCAATTTACGTTTAAAAACTGCGACAGCAACAGATTCGATTCAAAAGTAGAATTTTAGGATGTTTGCGAACACTAAATTACATATACATATTAATGCTCCATAATAACGTCAAATATAACGTTTCTTAGCAGAAGTTTTATTGAGACCGTATTTTAGGTTAAAGCCAAGAAGACACACTGATGAATAACGATTGAAACATGTCAAAACTACAGAGATCAGCACCAACAGACCCAGTTTACTTACAGAATAAAAGTAATTTAGGGATGCTTCCTTGAAACTGTTAACATCCCGCAGAGTATTAGCCCGCAGAACCACAGGTAAGCAATCCGGAATTACGGTTGTCGGACAACAACTCGCTGACCTTTGAAATGGCCTGGACGATAACGAGTTCAGTGCAGGGCTCTGGTATGAACTGGTAAATTATAACGTTGCAAATGAAAAGGTACACACATGGTTAATTTTATCTTTCAACAGAAATTATTTTAAAGATTTCCTCCTGGTTGGCACCAAGCTGGTTGGTGTGGGTGTTGGGGAGGGGGGGGGGAGAGGGAGGGATGGCGAGACCTGGTGGCACCTTGCTCACATAACGGACGTTTAAAGTCATATATGAAAGTTACCAGTGGGAGTGTGCCATCTATACGGCTACACATCCTTTAAGAGAATCGGTGAAAACAAAAACATCTGCAAATAAATCTGAACAAGCACTTCAGTATGTACTTTAAGCACCAAGTTCTTTAGCAACAAAAAACTGTACATGTGCGCTTATCAGACAAGAAGTATATAAAAAAAAACTGAACAAGAATTGCGATATCTGTGGACGAAAGTGTAAATCTATAATGTTTACAGTTTAGTTTACAAAATAATTTCAGCGGTTGTAAAACAATCAAATATTATATTTTACATACAGCTTTTTACGTCCTCTGCACACTTTTCTTCCCATAAAAAACCCACCTTAAAATATTACACGCTCCTGAGAAACACGACGCTATTCTCACCTGTGCCAAACAGCACCGCTTCCCTCACTGATGTGGTCAATGTGGAGTATATTAGCTGACTAACCTCAATGATGGTATACTTCTGCTTGCAAGGATTTGGGTCAGGGTAACTCCAAGTAGCCTATAACATGGCACATAAGATATATATGTATGCAAGGCTCACTTGGCGTGATTGATTATAATTATTTTAGGAATTAAAGTTATATGTGTGTATATATACATAATATTCTACTTATCCAGACGGCATGAACAGGTCAGATGAAGTTGACAGCTGAATGTCCAACTCGGCTTTACTGAACCTTTAGTTCACATATGCGCATATATAAAAATATATGGGCATAAAAGCCCATGGTCACAGTGAATTCCAGTAATTGGTTTGTCGCTGCTTATACCTTGGCCCTTGGTTTTTGATTTAATGAATATTCCACAAATTGTTCGCCAGTGACTGAGTACCACAATGTGTAACGTCAAAAGTAAATCAAAGCAATCCCTATTAGTATTTACTTGGTGTTATATGCTGAAATCAGAAAAAGAACTGCTTTAATTTTTTCCTAAATTTTCTCTTTCGTTGTTCCGTCCTGTTTTGAAAGAAACTGATGTTTAAAACAGCAATATCGTGTGAAATATGATCCATTATTCAATCACACAAGGTGAAATAAAGGTCAGAAAAGATCAGTAAAATACAAGGTCACGTGATCAAATCTCTTTGGTTCCGCCCAGCCTCCAGCATCCCCAGGGCCCGCAGTCGCTATTCCAGTGTCAGATGTGGCATCACTGAACATTTTTGTCATGTGTCATACTGGATTTGGTGACTACCTTAAATAGACCTAATTAATCACCATATATTGAACCTGATTAATTCACACCAATCACGAGACAAGCAAAAACACATGATTTTGTAACAGCTGATCACAAAATCAATGAAGCGGAAATTTTAAACATCCGAATGGTCAGCCCACTCTCTTATAAGCAAACAAGTGCATTTGTACTCGTTTATATGGTTGGAATTGATTCTCGGTAAAGAAGTACAAGAAAGTTTTCTGATGCGTTTCCATCGACTCTCAGTATATATCAATAACTAGTTTGGGTTCAACATTTATTAAACACTTTGAAGGAAGCAACACATATATCTGACTAGTTCCACATGCCAACTGACGACAGAACTTTGATTTTAACTTTCAGATCAAAATATAAGTCTAATTTAACCCAAGGCAATCACTAGTAATCAAATATAACTGTTTTTCTAATTAAAAAATGAAATAATTGGTTTCAGTTTAAGATGAACAGACGTTCCCTGTATTACTTTTACACATATCTACTATGACTGGCTCCACGTGTCAACAGAAGGTAAAAAGTTGGTTTAAACTTTCAAAACAAATTTTTTCTACTTTTACCCATGATAATCACTATTAGTAAACCAAATATGTCTACCTACCCCTATAATAAAATGAAATAATTGGTCACAGATTATGACAAATAGACAGCTGTCTACTTAATAAAATGAAAAAAAATTGATTACAGTTTACAATAATCACTAGCAGTAAACCAAATATAACTGTCTACCTACCCCTTTAATAAAATGAAACAGCTGGTTACAGTTTAAGTTGAAAAGCCAATTGTCTAAGTAATACAATGAAATAATGGGCCACAGTTTATGACGAATAGACATTTATTCTCTGGTTTATGGTCTACAGAATGCATATCACGAACTGCTACTACGTTGAACAGCATCACGAACTGCTACTACGTTGAAACAATACAGTGTACATTGATATCTTTGTCGAAATATCTCTCAACCAAAATATTTTGCCAATATCTGTAATCAGCCAGTGTAACGAAACTGAGGGTCCGTGTAAAAGAAAGTCCGCCCTTCATTTAGTTGTAATGGTTAGGGTTAGCCTGACATAATTGGGTCAAAATCTAGGGCGATGTTTACCTGTACAAATGAATTGTAAGCGGACTCTCTGACACGTTACACCGATGTAAAAAAATGAAGCTGTACAACAAGATATCAGTTAGAACGGATGGAGGGTAAATATAGTCACGTGCTCTACTTCCCATATGCACCTCGAACACGATCTTGCGCAGACTCTTAATTTGCATAAATCTTAATTTGATGTTATACCATTATATCCTATGTGAAGGCCTATATTTGAGGAGTGTGTCTAAATCAGAAATCGCTATGCGCAGAAGTCTCGTCTTTTTTGTTTTAGTTCTACGACTCAAACGACAGAGGGCGCTGTGGTACATGACTCCTGGCAGTTAACTACTGATATTCATCTTCGAGATTTTGGTGTCGGTCTCAACTTCCTTGTCGTCTAGTCGATCCTCAATATAGTCCTCGGCACTTACAGTCATCTGTCGGAGGGCGTTCAGTGTCAGGATGTCCACTCTGGGGTCAATGGAGGTCTCGGACTCGTAGTTCTTCACGGGTTGGACGTGATTACTTTGTATACCGAATGCGTCACTGATGTCTTTCACTTTATTTTCAATTGCACGACTGCGAAATATCAAAGATGGGTCTTCAGCTACGTCCTGGCATACTTTGTCCACCTCGGTCAAGACCACGTGGACCGGGATATCTGCAAGAGTTTAAAGGTTAGTTAATGATTTACCCTTCCTACTGCCATGACTATACTATGCCGTATCTGTACTGCTATTTTCGCTGCAATTTAACATCTTAAAAGAAAATGATCGACTTTGATCGATCGACTTTGAAATCCCGGTTTACAAAACTATAGACGTTACCTCTATCACGTGCCAGGGTTTGTACACCCAGCAATTTTTCCTTGACCTTGGAAGACATGACCTTGTATGTGCTGCCATCTATGACAAGTGCTACGCAGTGGATGACGTCAGCCAAACCAGGGTCCTTCACAAAACCAGCAGATTCGCGTGTGATACGCACAGCCGAGTTAAACTGGAGATAAATTAATATAAACTTATAAACTTAATTGCACGTAATTCACCGACTACATTAAAGTAAACGGCTACAATATATTTTGATAAAGATACAAAAATCACAAACTTTACAATGTTAAATTAACTATATGGGCAAATAGATTCATCTTAATTCTGAAACAAATCACACAGCTTTACGCACAACTTTCAAAAAGATAAGTTTTTGTCTAAGGTAATTCTTTAGAAAAACACATGCTGAAGCATTTTTTTAGCCACATGTACCAAATGCTTGACCAAATCAGAGAAGTTGCCATCTAATAATCAGTCTTAGGCTTGTGATAACAAATAACTGACATATTCGACAGGGAGTTAGACACCGGCCTCTATGCCATCAGAACACCTCCGTCTTCCCTGACTCTGAACCTCTACGACTTAATACGTCACTGACCTGGAAATGGTCTGGCACGTGACCACCAAGCAGATAAGCCATGTCCACCACATCTAGTCCCTGGTCCTCTTCCAGTCCCATGGTGTCACACAGACGGAACGCAGGCGTCTGGTGGCCTCCTCGAATCGCATACACACGATACTACCAAAGCAAATAATAATCATAATAATTATTAAAAAATGAGCGAATTTGTACCGTAAGTTTCTCCTTAAAACGTATTACGGTGGCTTTTAAATACTTTTATGTAAAAGCTCGTGTTTCGTGCCCAAGTACAACATCCCACTAATACAGATACCATAATCATTTACACACCTTGGTTGTGAGGCTATGGGGTGTCGTTCCGGTCGCCGCCTGGCTGCGGATTTCACCTTTAAACACAGAGCTCACGGTGTTAAAGAAACTGGATTTCCCCGCCACCACACTGCCCACCAGGAGGAGCCGTGCGGCGGGGACTTTGGTCGGGCTTGGAGTGGAGAACGACAGCAACCTATCCAACAGGGAGTCTCTAGTTTTGGAAGGAGAGAAGGATTAAAACATTTATTCGAAACGTGCACGTTTCGTTTTCTTTCCAAGTCCAATTTTCATAAAATTAACTTCGTTGAAATATTTGCTGTTCTTCCAGATTCTTAAGTACATCTGTACAATCGTGCAGTTGGCGCCACGATTCTCTATACATGTTCTCAAAACAAATGTCACAACATTTATTATCATTTTTTTCTTTTATGTACATTAAAGAGCTAAATATACCTCACCGCTCCAGTCAATAATGTCACTTTTGCACCATGGTTTATTTTCCCCATATAATTCATCTCCTGGATTTCCCTCTGTCAAAAAATAACTACAATAAGAGACAAATGGACTGTACATAAATACCCGATGTTGTTAAAATATTTGTCAATTGTGCCGTACAAGAAGCATATCTGTTTATATCATTAAATAATGAAAGAAAGTCAAGGTACACTATCATCGCGGTATAATGTAAATAAAAAGGCACGTATTAAAATTTCAGTTTTTTATTCATAACAAACATTCAGCTGAAAACTTTGCAATTTTGTTATATTGCTCTAATCATTCATATCAATACTGATAAATGATCACTGAATTTGGAATGAAACAAAAAATATTCTAATATACCAGTACAGTTGATGAGTACAATGACACTTACGTTTTACAGCATACACTTCAATGTCGAGATAGGCGTTGCTGTTTCCATTAAATGTTTTGGCACTGTAACCATTGGTATTATAAGTATTACCGAAGTTACTGCTGCCATATGTGTTACAATAAGCACCAGATTTGGTGTATGAATTGGAAAAGAAGATCAGATTGTTACCACCTCCAAATGTAGGACCGTACGTGGCGTCGTCAAAAACATCATTCCCCTTCCCATTGCGAGCGAACTTTACCATGTTTGGAAAGAGCTGGAACAAAAATGCACGGTCATCATTAAAATAACATCCACGTGATGTCCATGCAATGCTCGTGTATCCCCCTATGATGTAACCAGCACTGTTTTGACCAATAGAAACAGTCGGACCCTGGTTGTTGCACTTTTCATGGAAAGCCGGACCACTGCAGCCGTCTCTGGAGGCGCTGTACAGGAGGTCAAGGGTCAAGGCCGGGTCACCAATTCATGCACGGAGCTCTCTACGGTACGCCTTGTTATCAAGTATCGGCATTGCGGCGCAGTGGGCTGAAATAGACGTTAAAATGTGCCTTCTAATAATTTATAAACAGTAACATGTATCAATGGTGAACCCAGGCCCTCTCGAGGAAAAGAGGGGCTGTTATAATATCAACAAGGGCTATTTAATTATGTGTACATTACATGCGAGGTGCGCAGTATTAATTCAATAAGTGGAAGCCTTTCTCTTAAAGCCACACTTGGGAAACCAAGGTGTATCAGTACCCTCAGATAATATTCCACACCTTGCAGTTCAAATTTTAATGTCCTTAATTAATGTCCAGTAATCTGTTAGAGCTTGATTACATGGAGTTATTGGGGGTGCCCATCACGAGGGGGTGGACTTGTGTCTGAAGTAACCAATCAGCTTAAAATTATGTGATGGACAGTTTAACTTATACAGTTTGGTATAAAAATCTGTACACTTAAATTTAGGTGGAGACGGGATAGAAGAGAGAAGTGGAGAGAGGTCATGCTTGTACCATGTAACTTTTAGAGTAGCAAAATATATTGTATTGAAGTTACAACATGGAGTTGTGTCATTATTTTCCGTGTGCAGAATTTAAGGCATGGATCCTGGGAATCTCTTTAGCAGTACTACACATGTATGTACAGATCGCGTTATCCAAAGATGTGAGCCCATTGTACCCAAACCCTTAGGTTTATCTTATAAAGGGTTATTTTATGTAATGTGGGGTCGGGATAGTCAAAGGGAGGTTCCCCACAAGCGGCGAGCTCGCCAAGATCTTAAATTATCGGCATGGAATGAAATGCAGGGACTCCGGGTTTTAATGCCTTGAGTTTCAGATTCAATGTGAATCGGGTTTCAACAGTGAACTCTGAAGAACAACGACAGTGTACGATTTCCGTCAATCAAAAAGAACTGCTCCGCAGTGAATCTGCAGTTGAATGTCATTAGACCAAAATGAAACGTAAAACAGATTTAATTCTGCTTTATTTAATCTTATTTACTGTTTTTAAAAAAAGATGAAAAAGTAAAAAATAAATAATTTTTCTAAAAGAAAAAGACATATCCAATGTTTTTTGTATTTTTTGCTTATCAAAAAACATTTGCTCCTGAAGATGATAAACAATACACGTGCTTGACATGTGCCAAGTTTGACAGCTACACTGGATGCCCGATATCACTATTAGGGCTACGTGATGGCTACACCAAGATCAGTTTTTAAAGCAGAATGTTGCTTGTATTGTGACACTGCAAGATATTTTCAATTCAAACTTCTCCGCGTCAGCCACTTTGTTTCTTGTCTCGTCTGCACGAGATACGTCAGCGCAAGGCGGGAAAGGCAGCTCCAGGCGGGCAAAGCTGCGACGTACGAGAGATGGCTTCCAAATATGGGAGCTCCAGGGGGAAAAGCTGTGACGTACTAGACTTGTGACTTCCAAATATGGAAGCACCCCAGGCAAAATTTTGAAGAAGAACGCCCACGAATTTACGGTGGTGGCTAGAGCCTGGTATTGCTGATATGGCTTATATATGAAATCAAGATCGAGCTGGCAATACCGGAATCTAAAACCTAGGGTAGGTTTTAACAGCATTCAACAGTTTCGCGGCGAAATTTCGAAGAGAAGGGACAGGTGGGAAGGAAAGCAGGATTGTCAGGCAGCCGTGCGCTTACCGTGTACTTCAGGGAACATTCTTGTACACTTACATGTATTCTCCTTGTTTGTTCCCGAAGTTGCTTTCCAGTAGGCTTATCGTTATGGTCTTCTATCAACGAATCATTACCTTTTCAAATACTCTCCTTCCCCTGAAACACTAGAAAGCACTAAGGAGAATCCCAGCGTCAAGTACGTAGAACCAGCAAATGCAGTTCCTGTTTGCTTTTACAGCAGAGCGGAAATTCCACAAGTATCGATCGATTCTCTTGGATGTCACTTGCTGCAGTCTGGAAACAGGTCACATCAGGTAAAAAATGGCGCCAACTTGCCATCTCAGCCAGACCAAGTGACAAAGACAGTCGATTGTGTTCAAACCCTTGCAACGGAGTTTTGCAATGGCTTTGATGAGATTAAGGATTAATCTTGCTAGCGTCCGCTGTTAAAAGTGCTAGATGTCCCAGGCCAGGCTCCTCATACACCGGGCAGTGCAAAACCTGGGCTACGGACGACTGTCCTCATTTTATGATATTGACGACTCTGACAGTGTATCCTATTACATCTTAAAATACTTCCTCTAGTTATGTATTGCCCAATACTCCCCGCCTCTACACGCGCTGTGGTTGCAGGGTCCTCGTAGCAGGTGTTTAATCCGTGTAATGGCGCGTGCGGAGGCTGGGAGGCCACTACGGGATTTAGCGGTCTTGCTTTCATGTAGGTTCCTTCGTATATAAATTGATGTATAAATAAAATGAAATAGATACATAAAGTCCTTTGTGGTTAACTCTCAGCCTATATGAAATTCGTCAAACTTGGTGGAAAAATTGCGATTTGAAATATTAACCAGGCAAAACGCTAGCATTGTTATCCATCTATTCGGTTTTATTTAATATAACTACATTCCTGGGATCTGCTACATAATTTAGCCAGAAAGAAGTTCATATCTCTAAATTGAAAATCAGTTTGTTTTTTTTATAATATAAACTCATAACAATCAGTTCAATGAAAGTATAATGGTCTGAATAAGAAACCCAAAAATGAACAACATTTAATAAACAAGTTTTTAAAATTATTTCATTCTTTGATATTTCCTAGAACAATTGCAATGATTATAAGGAAAGCAGGTGCTTTAAAACAGAAATATGACAAGAATTTTTTTTCGTATTGACATATATTAACAACTACCTATTTGTTTTACCTTTGCAAAAAAAAAGAACATATCTCGTATAAGGTCATATAAATATACTGTGTCATAATGAGAAAAAGTGGCCATGAGCTGGCGATAGAGAAAGGCAGGCACATGAAAATCCCTCTGGAAAAAAGATTCTGCACAGAATCGAGGACGAGAGACATTTCTTAACTTGCAACAAGTACCGCACAGAGTGAAAAAGCATGCTTAATTCCCTCTCAAATACTGAAAAACAAAATCATGAATTAGCAGGCAGTGATCAGAAGCTATTTATCCCCCTCAACCCTCAAGACCATAAATCCCTTAAAGCGATATTGCAATATATTCAGTTAGCAGCACAATGAATAAGCACCCATCTCATTAATTAAATTTTAGCTAATTATTACGTATATAGAAACCTTGCTTAATATTGTAAAGTGAGATTGCAGGTACTGATGCTTTGATAGATATTTTAACCCTTATTATATCGCATTATCTAACTATTTAACTATTTCACTATTTAACCCCAGAAAATCACTAGTGGGGAATCAAATATAGTTTGTCTTACTAATAAAATAAAATAATGGGCCACAGTTTAAGACGAACATACAGACGTTCTATGTAATAATGGTCTACACAATGCATATCATTACCGATCACAGCATCACTATCTGCTATTTCGTTGAAACAATACATTGATGTCTTTCTTGAATCCTCTCTCAACCAACTAGAATTAACACAATTACCCAGTGCCTGTTATCAGCTGGTGTGAAGAAGTGATGCTGTAGAAAAAGACATCGTTAGAACGGATGTAGGACAAATGTAGTCACGTGCTCCACTTTCCATGTGTACTTCGAATAAAATCTTGCACAAGTCATTTGTATAAATCACAATTTGAGGCTATACCAGTATAATATACCTGGATATTTGAGGATCGATTGATGTCTAAATCAGTAATCGCTATGCGCAGAAGTCTCGTCTTATTCGTTTTAGTTCTACAACTCAAACAACAGAGGGTGCTGTAGTACATGTACATGCACCGGTAAGCGCGACTCCAGGCAGTTAACTTTTGATATTCATCTTAGACATTTGGGTGTCGGTCTCCTCCATGTCGTCGAGTTTAACCTCAATGTAGTCCTCGGCACTTCCGGTCATCTGTCTAAGGGCGTTCAGAGTCAGGATGTCCACTCTGGGGTCAATGGAGGTCTCGGACTCGTAGTTCTTCACGGGTTGGACGTGATTACTCTGTATGCCGAATGCGTCACTTATTTCTTTCACTTTCATTTCAATGACACGACTGTGAAATACCACAGATGGGTCTTCGGCTACGTCTTCGCATACTTTGTCCACCTTGGTCAGGACCACGTGGACGGGGATATCTGCAAGAGTTTAAATTAAGTGAATGATGTATTCTTTCCTTTAAAGCAGTATATGTACACACTGAACTGTACTCAAGTCAGCAAGACGTCTGAATAATTTATCAATCAACAAACCACATGCATTTCCCAGGAACAAGCCCCCAACAGAAGAGTGTACAGGGTCTTCTGGTACACATATGCTGAGTAAGGTGAGATCCAGATATATTACCTTTGAGACATCCCCCTTCCACCCCTTGGCTTGCCTAAATAATAGTTTATGTTCAAGCAATTTCAATCATATACATATACATGTGCCGGTATGCTCACTCCTTAAAAAGTGAAAGACAGTGCATGTAGTATCAAACGTATTCAAAATTTCGCCACCGCACAAAATATGTGTTGCTACTTTTAATGCAAGTAACTATACATTAAAGGAAAAATAGTCCATTTATTTTCAGTTTTGGTTATAGCCGTTACCTCTGTCACGTGCCAGAGTTTGAATGCCCAGCAATTTGTCCTTGACCTTGGGAGGTATGACCTTGTATGTGCTGCCATCTATGACTAGTGCTACGCAGTGAA